GGCTGCTGCCAGACGTTCCACCTCAGTGATTCTAGCCACTCTGAGCGCCCGAGGCATGCAGCTACAGCTCATGCAGCTACAGCTCATGCAGGCGTTTACCGTGAGAACCTCCCTCAGATGCTCAAATTTCGTCCCCACTGACCGCCAGAGGCGGCCGAGGCAGGAGGGGCAGCGGTCGTGGCCGTCCTCGGGCTCAAGAGAAGCCATACAGGCGCTACATGAATGAGCCATTCTGTAGGTAGCCAGATGCAGCGTAGCCGGGAGCGGGTGCGGGAACACAGCCATCACCAGCTACCTGCTTAATGGAAAGAGTAGAGCGTTGCTGCTACTCGCCGAACAGAAAGAGGGATGCAATTACACCCACGTTACCGGCAGAGGGAGCGGGAGCGAGAGCACTGCCTTCACCTGGCTGGATTAATAAACACGGCAGTTCAGCTTCTACCAGGAGCGGGGGCGAGAACACTGCCTTCACTGGTTGAGTTAGAGACGAATGCCAGATGCAGCGTAACCGGGAGCAGGTGCGGGAACACAGCCTTCACCGGCTACCTGCTTAACGGAAAAACGAGGCAGTTCGGCGTCTACCAGGAGCGGGGGCGAGAACTGCCTTCACTGGTTGAGTTAGAGACGAACGCCAGATGCAGCGTAACCGGGAGCGGGTGCGGGAACACAGCCTTCACTGGCTACCTGCTTAACGGAAAAACGAGGCAGTTCAGCGTCTACCAGGAGCGGGGGCGAGAACACTGCCTTCACTGGTTGAGTTAGATACGAATGCCAGATGCAACGTAACCGGGAGCGGGTGCGGGAACACAGCCTTCACCGGCTACCTGCTTAACGGAAAAACGAGGCAGTTCATCGTCTACCAGGAGCGGGGGCGAGAACACTGCCTTCACTGGTTGAGTTAGAGACGAATGCCAGATGCAACGTAACCGGGAGCGGGTGCGGGAACACAGCCTTCACCAGCTACCTGCTGAACGGGAAGAGTAGAGCGGTGCTGCTACTCGCCGAACAGAAAAAGGGATGTAGCTACATCCGCATCACCGGCAGAGGGAGCGGGAGCGAGAGCACTGCCTTCACCTAGCTGGGTAAAATAAAGAAGCTTAACAGTACACACAAGACGTTAGCCGAGCGGCTGCTGCTAACGATCAAGCGAGATCAAGTCAAATAACACATGTTTAAGACCAGATAACTAGCTTCTAAAGAAGAGAACAGCACAGAGCCGTAGTTACAGCAGTCACCATGGCCAGTGCTCACACGGCATAACCGTAGTTACAGTAGTAAACTATGGCCAGTACTTACACGGCTTAGAACCGTAGTTACAGTCGTAACTATGGCCAGAACTTACACAGCATAGAGCCGTAGTTACAGTAGTAACTCTGGCCAGTACTTACACGGCTTGGAACCGTAGTTACAGTAGTAACTATGGCCAGTACTTACATGTCTTAGAACCGTAGTTACAGTAGTAACTATGGCCAGTACTTACACAGCATAGAGCCGTAGTTACGGTATTGACTATGGCCAGTACTTACACGGCTTGGAACCGTAGTTACAGTAGTAACTATGGCCAGTACTTACACAGCATAGAGCCGTAGTTACAGTAGTAACTATGGCCAGTACTTACACAGCATAGAGCCGTAGTTACGGTATTGACTATGGCCAGTACTTACACGGCTTGGAACCCTAGTTACAGTAGTAACTATGGCCAGTACTTACGCTTAGAACCTTAGTTACAGTAGTAACTATGGCCAGTACTTACACCGCCTAGAGCTGTAGTTACGGTATTGACTATGGCCAGTACTTACGCGGCTTGGAACCGTAGTTACAGTAGTAACTGTGGCTGGTGCCTAAAAGTGTCAGCCAAACGGCTGCACACTAGATAATATAATATTGGGAGGATGAAATCCTCTTTAATGGCCACACATGCAGAGCACACAGCACACAGCACACAGTGAAGATTGTTCTCTGCATATCGTCCTAGTGCTAGGAGTCTAGTACTAGGAGCAGTAAATACAACGATATAGCGCTACTGCAACCATACCATGCGTTTAACGGGAGCGGGAGCGAGAGCACTGCCCTCACCGGCTGAGTTAAATAATTAAGATTAACAGTACATGCAAGGTGCAAGCGGCTGCTGCTAAAATCAAGCAACCAAGTCAGAACACAATGTTAAGACCAGATAATTAGCTTCTAAGAAAGAGAACAGCCCGCATAGAACCGTAGGCCATGGTTACAGTAGTAACCGCACATGCAGAGCACACAGCACCCGCAGTAAAGATGTTCTCTGCATATCATCCTAGTGCTAGGAGTCTAGTACTAGGAGCAGTACTACAACGATATAGCGCTACTGCAATCAAACCCTATGTTACCGGGAGCGGGAGCACTGCCCTCACCGGCTGAGTTAAATAATTAAGCTTAACAGCAAGGTGTTAGCCAAGCGGCTGCTGCTAACAATCAAGCGACCAAGTCAGAACACAAAGATTAAGACCAGATAATTAGCTTCTATGAAATAGAAAGTACTTACCTTACTCTCTGCATCTAAACGAAAAACGGGTTTAAAATATGACACTGGGCTTTCCATACTAAACTGAATGAGGGACGCAGCCAAAGCTGGGACTCAAATGCTAATGATAGCTCGGGCACAACGCCACAAGCAGAACTTTCAAAAGAGCATAAGGGCAACTTTATGGGAGAGGAAGCGGGAACACTGTCGTCACCAGAGAGTCTAAGCCAAACAAAAAATAAGACGGCAATCAGGACAACTTGGCTGGGAGAGGGTGCGGGGACACAGCCATCACCAGCAACAAGCTGACACAAACCTGTCTGTCGAGGCTCTGCCCAGCGCACAGCCGGCCACAGCTCCTGGAGGACGCGTTAACGACCCGTAGCTCCGACTGTCAGTCGCGAAGCTGCACGCGGCCAGCTGCTTGCAGAGCAATCCCTCAGATCAAACCTGAACACTGTAGGCTACAAAAATGTAGCCACGGTACCCTCGCGCAGCGAGAAGATGAACGGAACAGCTCCTCTGACGACACCGGCTGATATAGCCGGTGTCACGTGGGTCACAGGTGACTTTGTTGTTATTGGTACTCGAGCTGCGCATGCGCGCGATGGACATATCCAGTGCTTAAAGCACCGCCTCTGGCGGTCAGTAGGGACGAAATAGAACCCTGATGTGTGTCGGTCCTATGTTGTAAAAAATAAATAAATCTCAAAATAAGATTTTATTTTTGATTCTCAAAATGACGGTCCAAATATTATTGCTGGCGGGCCAACAATGGCCCGCGGGCCGCCTGTTGCCGACCCATGTCCTAAAGCCTACAAATAAAGTGTGTAATGTAGGTCTGTTACATATATTATTGAGCGATATATATTATACACACTGTTCTGCTTTCTGCACTGACCTCAGCAGCTGTTCTCACTGTAAACATCGCATCACAATGAAAGCAGTTGTATTAAAAAAAAAATAGCCTAACATCCAGGGTAGATGTGATTAGTGAGTAAACAAACGGTAAAGGGCAGAAAGTCTGATGCCCATTTGATCATCTTAAATAACTTATAATCACAACAGGAACCGTTTTCAGAGCTGTGCTTCGTTGACATAAATCCAGCCATGCGTCACACCTCTTTTAAACATCACTGTTGGCTGAAATCGACTCTAGAGAAGACATCAGTGTACCCTCGGTTATAGCTCCTCCAGAGAGACTCCTCTCTCCTCTACATCAGTGTGCCCTCGGTTATAGCTCCTCCAGAGAGACTCCTCTCTCCTCTAAATCATTGTATCCTCGGTTACGGCTCCTCCAGACACCCTCCCCGATAATCGATCCTCTACGAGCCTTTAGAGAAATGTGTTTTCCTTCGAGACGGTGCGCCAACATCCATTTCCGGGTCGCTACTGGAGGACCTGGGAGTCTGGGACGCGAAAATGATAGAAATCACAAACGGCTCATTTCGGAGGACTCGCTTGACGCCGGGACGACCAGCCGCCCTCCCCGAGAGGCGCACGGACGCGAGGGCCCGCTCATCACTACGCGCACATCTGTGACCGCAGTTTTAATTATTATAATAAAGTACATTTGTCTAATAATACTTACATACTTTTACTTAAAAGGTCCCATGTCATGCTTTTCCGGTTATTACCCGTCCCCTTGTGTGTTATGAAGGTTTTTCTGCATGTAAGCGGTCTGCAAAGTCACAAACCCTCAAAGTACACCCAGTAGCGAGTAAAACTCTAACACGGAAAATACCTGTCTATGCTGCCCCAGAACGCCTCGTTGGAGATTTCTCTTTTTCTTCCTGGGTACAGTGACGTCACCATACCCAAATGGACCAATTGGTCCAAATGGACCAATCCGTGGAGCTCCTCACACATACACATACTCTCTCAGCTGCGAAACTGTGACGCGCTGGGGGGGGGGGGGTGCTAGTGGAGCCTCACAGCGGCGAAACTGTGGCGGGCTTACACTGTAGGTGCACCCGTGTTTGGGGGTGCGGGTGCTAGTGGACACGGCACCCAGACCCCAAGCAGCATTCTCATCGGTTTGTCATTACTGGTGTCATTTTCGGGTTGCTAACGCCATTGTAACACATAATCACAGATGTTCCGCTGTAACGGTGGTGGACTCATCAGAACAGAGTGGGCGAGCTGACCAATCAGAGCACAGTGGGCTCATAGGGAGGGGGTGGCAGGAGCTCCAACAAGCCGTTTAGGACAGAGTGAATACACATACTATACAGAGATACTGTATGAGAAACCAATGTGAGTTTGGAAAATTGCACAATATAAATATATTCTAGTATACCTCAACAATGGAATTATGATCAGTAGAAATGGCAATGACATGGGACCTTTAAATAAGATATGAATGCAATACTTTAACTTGTAATGGAGTATTTTCACAGTGTGGTGTTTGTACTTTTACTTCTAGGGTCTAAAGTGTTATTAATGTGATAATAAAGTGTGACTGAAGAGTTTCAAGTGTTAATAAAAAGTAAAGCGAACAGACCTGCTCTGTGTATCCGAAGCTGAGGCTGTAAAACAGCGTCCAGTAGTTTCTGGAGTCTCTCGTTCTCCTCTTTTGAACGAGACAGCTCCTCCTCGAGCTCTGCTATAGTCTTTTCAAACAGAGCAAATATCTCTTCAGCAGCAGCAGTGAGTCGCTGCTTCTTCAACAACAGCAGCATTTGGACTTTACTCATGTTTACTAGATCACCTTTTCCTGCAAACTCCGTTAAACACACCGTTTCTCTCTTCATCAAACTCTCAATCTGACTAGTGTTGCCAACGTGTTTCCAGCTAGCATGCTAAGCTAGCTCCTATAGTCCGAGGTAAACGCTCCAGAAAAAAGAGCACAGAGTCCATTCGGAGGTTTATCCAGACACACAGATGATGGATCAGTAGTGCTGGAGCTCACACACACTTTCTCAGGAACACAGAGAGAGAGAACCGTAGCGACGAGACGCCACCTCGATCCAGGTTAGAAAGAGCTGGGAACTTCACTTCCGGTGCGGTTTGAGGACGTCAAAATAAAAGCGAGAAGGATTTCTTCTTTTTGGTTTTAACATCCGGACGTTGCATTACCGCCTACTGGATACTTATTAAAAACCACCCTTTCCAAAAAAACTATTATAACTAACAGAAAATACTCATATAGGAAAAAGGGAAAATAAATAAACATCATTGAGCTAAACAGGTCGCAGGTACACAAATCAAATATCTGTATAGCAAATACAAATGTTTGGCATATCTGAAGCTGATCGTGCTGTTCGGAGTTTGCATCCTCGTGGTTGATTGCACTTATTGTAAGCTGCAAAGGTGGAATAAGTACTACTCAGATCTTGTACTTAAGTAGGCCTACATGTAGGAATACTCTGTTACAAGTTAAAGTCCTGCATTCAAGATGTAAAATAAAGTTCAAAAGTATTGGCATCAAAATATAATTAAAGTTCCAAAAGTAAAAGTACTCAATATGCAGATCGACCCATTTCAGAATAATTTATATTATATGTTTTGATTATAATCATTGATGCATTAATGTGTTCATCACATTTAAATGCTGGACTTATCTGTATTGTGTTGATCATTTCTACACACTGTGGTTTTACTATTTTTATTTAAGTTAAAGTGCTGAATACGTTGTCCTTAAGTCGTCAAAATGATACTGATATATGTAAAAGTACCTGAAAATGTAATATTCAGACAAATGTATGTTATAATTTAAAAATAATAAATCTTAATCCATTAATGCTCAAATGTTGCCTCTGATAAATAGGAAGCAAGTTTACCTTTATATACTGCAGGGTAGCTTGTACATTTCTCATAGTGGCCAATAAAGCTCTATAATTATACATTAACAAGTATTTGAATATATTTCGTAAGTATAAAGTAGCAGGAAAAGTAAATACTCAAGTAAATTACCTAAAGATTGTTCAGTAACTTAGTAAATGTACTCAGTTACTAGCCACCACTACTGCTTTAGAATATAAACAGCTGTTATGAAATTGTTCAATAGGTGTCATGAAGTGGAGGTGATATCTATTAATAAATGGGGAAGAAGACTAAGAGGGAAGAAGCCCGTCACATACACTTTTTTTTATACCTTTAATTTTCTTGAAACTAAGGCAAAGCACATTTCAGCATCAAAGAGTACAAATTATTTTATCCAGACAAAATGTCAACAAAAACCATTGCAGTTTTGAGAATAATATACTGAAATGTCAAACAGCTTCTTAAGATAAGCACAACATAAAATGTCCACAAAGGGAAAAAGCATGTGGGACGTTCAATCCTTAAGAAGAGGGCACTGTGTTGATTTAAAAGGGCATAACGGGTGCCATAAAACAAACAAATCTTCTTTGAATAGTGGCATTAATAATATTTTTGAACTTACTGGAATGTATTCAACAGCACTAAGAAAGCTTTCTGCAGCATCAGTGTTACATCTCAGGAGCTGCAGTGGACAGTTGTGACACCAGAGAGAGACATGGCAGTACAGAGCTGCAGGGAAATGACCTTACAAATAGAAATAGAACATATCTATAAATGCTGAGACACCAGTCCTAAACACATCATTTCTGGAGACAATGCTTTAATTACAGTTACAGTGGAACAGCCTAAAAAACACCCAACTGCACTGAAGTCAGAGCAAGAAAAAAAGACAGAAAAATACTTTGCTGCTATCTCCATACGCTCTCCTATATGGCAATCATTTAAATATTCCTCTAACCAAAAATACTGAAGAACACCGTTTCTAAACATCTTCTTAAATGTACAATATAGTCACTTTGAAAAGGTTTTCTCACAGTAAATAAATACTTTAAGAAGTTAAGAAAAGTTAATGAAATGATGGAGTGACAGTCGAAAATGGGGAAAATGAAGAGTCTATACATTAATTATTTATTTTAGAAATTGATTGCCATAATGAAGCAAATGTTGTTACAAAAAAGTGAGTAAATTGCTTAAAAATATACAGCTTTTTCTGAGGACAGAACCCAATAAAATGGATATTTAAAATGGCAAATTATTTCCAAAAGGACTACGTGAAGCAGTCACAGATAATAGCACAAACGTAAGCTGTTTTTTTTAAGAATAGCATTTAGATACTTAACTTCACATTTCTGCTACACTGACTGCTATATGATTGTTCATATTGCTGTTTTGTCCTTTACAAATAAACACAGAATTTTTATAGCCAGGGTTACATTTACACATAAGGTACTTCATTTGGCTTTCACTGACGAGGATCAATTATATATTCTCTGTTTGGATGGAAAGGAAAGGTTGAATCTGAAGAGACATGATGGACAACCTGATGTGATTGGATGAATATGGTGACATATAAGAGCCTTTATCTTTATCCAACCAGAGTTGGACCCACGTACACTGAATACAGATGTTTGTTCCCAAAATAACCCAGAAAGATGTGACCATTTGTTGATGTACTTAGCAATATTACTTTGTACCAGTATTTGGCCTTTGTGGAAGTTTGAAGCACAAGCCAAAACTGCTTTACCTTTCTTTATAAATACCAACGTAAAGTCATACGGACATTTCTAAAATGCAAGAAAATATGTTGTACATCAGTTGCTTTTGAGTTAGTTACGACTAATTTAAACTTCAAAGGTCTAAATGCCAGTGAGGCTATTGATTTAGCACAATAAAAAGAACATAACGCAAGAAATTCCAATTTGTTCCCCTTTTTTACCTGGGGTGCTTCCCCTTAAGAAAACATAACAAAATGAACTCAACATTAGAGAATCTTTTATATTTGAACCACCAAATGAAGCGAACATTTGCCACTGATATAAATATCAAATGGTCCTTTCTGTAAAACCTCTTGAATTGGCAATCAGGTCACATCTGGCACAGCTGCTGTCACACACACACAAGTCCACCAGTGATAAACATATTCTGTATATAATCTGTATTTCTGCCCTGAAGCTGCTAACATTACAACATAAAGAAGCAGATATTGGCATTGTAGAAACCATTATTGTTTCTACTAATGTAACAGACAGATGCAACAATCCCACCACCTTACAAAATATGTGGTAAAACAGCTCTTTGTCAGAGATTAAAACTATGTAACAGAGAATAAGCCAATTCAACAAAATCATGATTGTATTCTGAGAGCTTTTCTGCAAATTATTGACCATTATTCTGAGAGGGTGCTGGTGTCAGTCGCACCTGCATTCAAAATAAAACACTATTCTTGTATGGAGGATTGTATCTGTAACTGATCCTGTCAAACACTGACACTGACAACACTTAGCTATTCTTCTCAGGACATTATTTTGTGTTAATACATGATGAAATTATGTCAATGTCTCTTTTATGAAATGATGAATGGCACCAAAAACAGGAAAAACAGAAACAAACTCACATATAAATGCACGTGGCGAATGGCAAAGGTGAATTCAGTCTGAATAAAACACGACATTTAGATATAATAGAACAAATATAAAAAACATCTATGTATAAATATAAACAATCACGACAGAGAAACTTAAAATCTGTGGAGGAGGAGGGGGGGTAACAATACAGTACAGTGAGTGTTGAGAGCAGTGCATTAAAACTGAAAAACACACATTAATAGGTATATAGAGGATATGCAGGTAGACATGTCTATCTGACCAACATTTTTAATACAAGTCATCCATAACAGAAATGTGTGACAGTGCAGTAACTCACAAACACTGGACTCCCAGACCAAATGACGTGGAATGAACAAAAGCTGAATTTTTTTGTCATTTTTCTTTTTTCTCTGATGTGTTTTACGCTCACACACAAATCACTGCCAGTGTCCCGGGTCAGCAGGGGGTCCTCGGGGTGCTACCCTCCTCTCTCTTCTCCCCCTCAGGGTGAGCCACAGTGGGTGTGGGGTGGGGGGGGGTGTCTAAGCCATGACGTCCTCCAGCGCCGGCAGGAAACCCTTCTCCATCAGGTGAGCCTTCAGGGAGTTGAAGATGTGGAGCTGCTGGTCGATGCGCAGAGCCAGGAGCTGCTGGATCACCTTGCTGGGGTTAGGGCCCCTGAGAGGAGAGGGAAGATAATTAGGGATGGAAATTAGGAAGATTATAACATCGAATCTCACCATCGATCCAAAATAAATTAATCGGTGGTAAAAGAATACAAAACAAAAATATAGACATGTTAAATCGGAGGGGTCATTTTCTGAGGGTTCAAGCTGGAACCACGTGCTTTATCTGCTTTCAGTTCATTTATAAAAAGTGTTGGAGCTTGACAACATAGCATTTTTACAGCCTGATCTACAGTAAACTCAATATGAAGTTACATTTAAAATCTTTTTTAAGTATCAAAGGCACCCTACAGTGATATTGACCAATACTGAAAAGTCTCAAACAAAATTCAGTTTTCATACTTTAGTTTCATGTTTGTATATTTATTCAGTGACAGAGGAAGACATGACACAACTCAAGATACAGAGATAACTCTTTAATGGTTATTAGCAAGCTAGCTAGTTTAATGTTCAACCAACAGTTTGCTTTCTTCAAGAAATAAAATGTTTCGTCTAACAGTCAGGAATAAAATAAACAGTGGCGAACCGTCAGGGCCTTCAAGGTATTCAGAGAATACGCTGGAACACTCAGATAAAACAAATCGATTAAATTATATAAATACAATTTATATAAAATGAATAAATGAGATTCGTATCTGTGTTGTTTGTCCTTCTCGGTCCATGCCCTACGCATTTCAGTGGTTTTTTGTTAGAAAAGAAATGCAACCAATCAGATATTTTTCTGGGTCTCTGGGAAGAATATCCTTCAACCAAGGTATTCTATATCCTTGATAGAATGCCCTGGCCGTTACACTGAATGAGAGCGTACGTTTGGACCAGTGGTTGCGTTAGACTTTTTCGTTGTCCGTCATTTTGACGGACAGGATCGTAAAATGTCCGTCATAATCCATTATTATCCGTCATTTTATTTTTCATGTTTTAATGATGAGATGATACCTATTTAATATTTATGTTTGGGTACTGAGCAGCAAATGTTCATTCATTCATGTTTTAATGATTCATACAGAACTTTTAAGGGCATGGAGAAAAAAAAAGATGAACAGAGACACCGACCGTTTGGTCACTTTTCATGTCAACACAAACATGAATGATTTTTTTTTTCCTGCACTGACAGCACAGCAGACGGGGGCAGAGGCCGCTAAAAACACCACGACCATTGTGCCTAAACAGGCAAATATGAACAATGCCATCGTTTTAAATAAGACAATTACAATCAGAATATGAACAAAAAATTTACAAGAACAACTCAATTGACCTGCTGTAGCCAAGCCTGAACGCCACTTAAACTCTTGCTCCCACTGAACCCGGTACTCCCGCTTGAACTCCTTGCCACTTGCTTGCCCCTCTGCCGCTGGCTGAACGTTGTCAGTTTTAGTCTTACTGGCTTGTCCTTCATCCTCCACCGCATCAATCCCTCTTTTCACCTCGTTTATCCACACCATCACAAATACTGGGTTTATTAAATTAAGCTTCGGACGATCAGCTGCCGTGACATTTTGCGATTGCTGAAGCCGGTTAAACAACGAGGTAATCAACGAGGTCAAAACAAGACTAGACAATAGCTACTTAATAACACACACTCGCCACCAACTGGACAGGGGTGTGAATGACTAAATAATAGTTACAGACTACAGTAGAGTACAGTAGATCGCCCTCAGTCTACCTGGCCACTAAGGATGTAATATAATGTGGGCCGCTGGTGGACATTTTGGCGCTGTTCCGAGTTGTGTTCTAATCTGTCAAAATGACGGACTGCTTTCAGATTTTTCCGTCATTGTTAGAAAAAATTCGTCATTGACGAAAAATATTCGGTTAACGCGACCTCTGGTTTGGACTGACAGTTTGATCAACCAATCATATATTGATTTTTAGCCAATGGGCGTATTCTTTCAGAGTTTCCCTCGGTTCCAAGGTACTCTAGAACAGTGGTTCTCAAATGGGGGTATGCGGACCCCTAGGGGTAAGTTGGAGTACTGCAAGGGGTACGTGAGATTTATTTTATTTTAATGAAAAAAAACAACATAAGTAATGCATTTAAAAAAACTGCTAATAGAAGATGAACTACTTTATTCAAAGGTTTACAGTAATTCTGGATAATAAAATGGGAAAAATAAACGGGGTGCTCAACTGGTGGGACCCGTTTCGAGTGGGTCGCAGATGTGTGAGTAGGGTTGGGTATCGTTTGATTTTCCACGATTCTGATTCTACTTTTCGATTCCGGTTCTTAACGGTTCTCAATTCCGATTCTTTGAGGGGCAGGGTAAAAAAATGATACATGCTTCTTCCACCAAAAAAAATTACATTTATTCGAGAAACTTTTACACAGGTTAGTTTACAGTAATATTCACATTAATCAGTCTGTTTATGTTCATTGCTATGTAACTGTAACCTGAGAACCACTGAAGCTACAACAGTGCAACAGTCCAACATTTAAAGGAAACCCCGCTTTATGCTGAAAGGCGTATATATTACAGCACGATTTCTTGTTGAATAGATTTGAGTGGTTAAAAATTTCGGGTCGCGATTTATTGACAAAGGAAAAAGTGGGTCCCGAGGCCGAACCAGTTGAGAACCACTGCTCGAGAAGGCCCGGTAGTTCACTGGCTCGAGACAGAGGATCTAGAACAGGGATGGGCAACTTTGATGGTGGTGGGGGCCACATAATTGATGTACTGGCCACCAGGGGGTCGCAGATTCACTTGGAACACACACACACAAAAATTCCATGTGTTGTAAAGTAGGGCAAAAAAGTATTTAGTCAGCCACCAATTGTGCAAGTTCTCCCACTTAAAAAGATGAGAGGCCTGTAATTTTCATCCTAGGTACACTTCAACTATGAGAGACAGAATGAGAAGAAAAAAAAAATCTAGAAAATCACATTGTCTGATTTTTAAAGAATTTATTTGCAAATGATGGTGGAAAATAAGTATTTGGTCAATAACAGAAGTTCATCTCAATACTTGGTTATATACCCTTTGGTTTGCAATCCGCCCTGCCAATCAGACATCACTTTTTCTCCCACGAAAGTCCCTGCTCTCTAGCAGGGACGGAAAAGGGGGTGAAAAGGTTCTCATGAACTAATTTTAGTTCCGGCTCTTTTTGGTGTGAACGCAACAAAAAACAAAAGTTCATCTCAATACTTTGTTATATACCCTTTGTTGGCAATGACAGAGGTCAAACGTTTTCTGTAAGTCTTCACAAGGTTTTCACACACTGTTGCTGGTATTTTTGGCCCATTCCTCCATGCAGATCTCCTCTAGAGCAGTGATGTGTTGGGGCTGTCGCTGGGCAACACGGATTTTCAACTCCCTCCAAAGATTTTCTATGGGGTTGAGATCTGGAGACTGGCTAGGCCACTCCAGGACCTTGAAATGCTTCTTACGAAGCCACTCCTTCGTTGCCCGGGCGGTGTGTTTGGGATCATTGTCATGCTGAAAGACCCAGCCACATTTCATCTTCAATGCCCTTGCTGATGGAAGGAGGTTGTCACTCAAAATATCACGATACATGGCCCCATTCATTCTTTCCTTTACACAGATCAGTCGTCCTGGTCCCTTTGCAGAAAAACAGCCCCAAAGCATGATGTTTCCACCCCCATGTTCCACAGTAGGTGTTCTTTGGATGCAACTCAGCATTCTTTCTCCTCCAAACACGTCGAGTTGAGTTTTTACCAAAAAGTTCTATTTTGGTTTCATCTGACCATATGACATTCTCCCAATCCTCTTCTGGATCATCTAAATGCTCTCTAGCAAACTTCAGACGGGCCTGGACATGTACTGGCTTAAGCAGGGGGACATGTCTGGCACTGCAGGATTTGAGTCCCTGGCGGCGTAGTGTGTTACTGATGGTAGCCTTTGTTACTTTGGTCCCAGCTCTCTGCAGGTCATTGACTAGGTCCCCCCGTGTGGTTCTGGGATTTTTGCTCACCGTTCTTGTGATCATTTTGACCCCACGGGGTGAGATCTTGCGTGGAGCCCCATATCGAGGGAGATTATCAGTGGTCTTGTATGTCTTCCATTTTCTAATAATTGCTCCCACAGTTGATTTCTTCACACCAAGCTGCTTACCTATTGCAGATTCAGTCTTCCCAGCCTGGTGCAGGTCTACAATTTTGTTTCTGGTGTCCTTTGACAGCTCTTTGGTCTTGGCCATAGTGGAGTTTGGAGTGTGACTGTTTGAGGTTGTGGACAGGTGTCTTTTATACTGATAACGAGTTCAAACAGGTGCCATTAATACAGTTAACAAGTGGAGGACAGAGGAGGCTCTTAAAGAAGAAGTTACAGGTCTGTGAGAGCCAGAAATCTTGTTTGTTTGTAGGTGACCAAATACTTATTTTACCGAGGAATTTACCAATTAATTCATTACAAATCCTACAATGTGATTTCCTGGATTATTTCCCCCCATTCTGTCTCTCAGAGTTGAAGTGTACCTAGGATGAGAATTACAGGCCTCTCTCATCTTTTTAAGTGGGAGAACTTGCACAATTGGTGGCTGACTAAATACTTTTTTGCCCCACTGTATATAATTATTAACAAATACACTAAGTCTGACATCCTCATTGACATTTTACAATCTTTCAAGGAACATCCTCTAATAAACTCACTAAACAAATATTTTTATAAGTGGCATGTTTGTATTGAACCGGTTATTAAACAGTGGAATAAAACTATTTTAAACTATTGGAAAGCACGGAAAATGTGTGTGCATTGAGATTAACCATTAAGATGAAGTCATGAACACTAACCCATCCATTAGTTGTCTAACTTGAACCAAAAACACTTGTAGCCTGTCTCTGCATTCCCCTTATTCCACAATAAGGGGAATGTCAACACAGACACCTGTCAACCCGCACTCAGCGCCACTCCCGCTGAAATTATGAATGGAAAGCGTAGTAATCATAGATAACATGGTAGAGTCTGTGACAGTTTGTCTTGGTTTTTAGAATATTAAACTTGTTTCGCCAAATTCAGATGATAAATACAACTTTTAAGCTTGTAAAGGCATAATTACAAGAGGCAACTTAACGTCAAAGCAAGCATAACAACAGCCGGTATTTCTTGTGAGGGTTTCCCCGGGAAACAAACACAATACAGAATGTACATCAACCAACTGACTGTTTCAACCACACCCTCAACCTTGTTCCAACATGGTATTCAAATTGAGCATCTATCAGTCAGTGCTCATAACCCTGTTTTATCTGATCACTACTTATTAACTTTTGGTGTTCTGTTATTAGACTATAAGCCACTGCATAAGAATGCCTACAAAAGAAATCTATCAGATTCTGCTGTAGCAACATTTTTGGAAAAAATTCCATCAGTGGTAAGCTCATTAACATCTCACAGTCCAAGGGAGGACTCCTTTACTAACCTTACGCTCCCCCAAATAGATCATATGATTGATAGTGTTACAGGGGCGCTACAAATAACACTGGACTCTATTGCCCCTTTTAAAATTAAGAAAATTAAACTAAGAAGACTAGCTCAATGGCATAATAATGAAACACGCATAATAAAGCAGAGGACAAGGCCACTTGAAAGGAAATGGCGCTCCACCAAGCATGAAGAATTTCGGTTACTCTGGCTTGATAACCTTAAAAAATATAAGAAGGCACTAGGCACTGCCAGAGCAGCTTATTATTCCTCCCTAATAGAAGAAATTAAAAACAATGTCAGGTTTCTTTTTAGTACAGTAGCCAGGCTGACCGAGAGTCACAGCTCCATTGAGTCTTCTATTCCTACATCCATCAGTAGTAATGACTTTATGAACTTCTTTAAATGATAAAATGATAACTCTCAGGGACAAAATAAACCACCACCTACCCTTAGCCAGCACTGAATCACCCTTAACACCGGATATATACTTAGAGTGCTTCTCTCCTATATACCAAAACCAACTAAATTCAATTATTTCATCCTCTAAAGCAGGGGTCGGCAACCCCTGGCACGCGTGTCAGCATTGGCACGCGGCAACGTAACCAGTGGCAAACTAGGAATAAGTGGAATAAGTGTGCAAAATATTTCAATTGTATTTTCGGATCCTGAACGAGACCGCCGCCAGAGCGCGTCTCCCCGTTCCCTGCAGAAGGAAGCCATGCACGCAACGCAGCCCCGCTCTCTTTATCTCCAGGTGACTTTCTGCCGCTTTCCTCCGTGGTGCAGTGCTGATCGTTTCACCACGGAGGAAAGCACTTCACTAATTGCAGTACCCATAAGGAGCTGTACAAATGCCGCAGTTTTTGCGTGGCTGTGTATTTAGTTGAAAGCCCAGTGGCGATCTGCTCATCTCTCATCTAAATAATATGCTACAAAGGGGCGGACTGGCCATCTGTGTGTTGAACTTTCCTGTCGGCTCCCAGACCGTAGTCGAGGAGGGCAGAAGCAACAAGCTTCAGGTTCAATAACCCACTTTAGCTTAAATGACTGGAGAGAGGCGAGCTCTTCTTGGGAGGCCGTTGCATTTATTCAGCTGTTCTTCTGTTTCATAAAATACATCACAGACCTCTGTTTTTCTGCTTCCTCATTTCACTTCCAGAAACATACACACGTTCCCTCACTGTCGCTCTACCATCCACAAACACAAGCCACACCTCTCTCTCTTAAAAAGGGACAGCGATCTCATCTCACTCTGCATGACCCTAATATAACATGTGTGCTCTGGAGAATCACAGAACGGACGATCGTCCTTATTATGCCGTTTAAAACAATTATTGAAATGTGTTTGTTAAATTCGGCATCATGTAAGTTGCGCTGACAGGTCCACACACTGCTTCCCCGCAGGGAGGCTCCCCCGCCCTCCTGCTGATAGTTGACGAGCGTCAAGCTCCTCCCCGTTGATAATACTCGATCGTTGGCACGCTGATAACAATTATTTTTTTAAATGGCACTTCATATCAAAAAGGTTGCCGACCCCTGCTCTAAAGCATCTACCTGTATCTTAGACCCTGTTCCATCTAAGCTGTTCAAGGAAATTGCACCCCTAATTAATACACCTGTATCAAATATGATGAATATATCTTTACTGTCAGGCTATGTTCCACAGTCATTTAAAGTAGCTGTAATTAAACCTATTATAAACAACAAACCTTGATCCTGAGGTTATGGCCAATACAATTACAGGCCAATATCAAGCATTCCCTTCCTCTCAAAAATCCTAGAGAAAGCAGTGGCCTCACAATTGTGTGCATTTTCAAATACAAATTGTTTATTTGAGAAATTCCAGTCAGGTTTTAGAAAACATCATAGCACAGAGACAGCACTGGTTAAAGTCACAAATGACCTGCTTTGTGCATCTGATAATGGACTTGCCTCTATCCTGGTTCTGTTAGATTCTGAGTGCTGCCTTTGACACTATTGACCATAACATACTACTCCAAAGATTAGAGTTTTTGATAGGTATAAGGGGAACTGCACTAAGCTGGTTCAGGTCTTATCTATCAAAACGGTCTCAGTTTGTATCTGTCAACGATGAATCCTCATTACAAACTACAGTCAGTCATGGAGTACCGCAAGGGTCTGTACTTGGACCCATCCTGTTCATCATATATATGCTACCATTGGGCAATATCATAAGGAATAACTCCATACATTTTCATTGTTATGCAGATGATACACAATTGTATCTATCAATTAAACCAGATGTACAATTTCCATTAGTTAAACTGCAAGAATGCCTCACAGACATAAAGACATGGATGACCAGCAACTTTCTATTATTAAACTCTGACAAAACAGAAGTCATTATACTAGGCCCCCAGCGCCTTTGGAACGAACTGTCCAACAACATAATTTCTTGGAATTGTATTACCATGACCAGTGACCATTGCATGTATACAAAATATGTGTAATGTGTATTTGTAAAGCGCTTTGAGCATCTGGAAAAGCGCTATAATAAATGTAAGGAATTATTATTATTATGACACCCAGCACCACGGTAAAAAAAATCTTGGTGTTATCTTTGACGAGGATTTGTCTTTTAAATCCCATATAAAAGCACATTTCAAGGACTACCTACTTCCATCTACGGAATATTGCAAAAATCAGGCACATCCTAAATGACAACAATGCAGAAACACTAATCCATGCTTTTATCACCTCCAGGCTGGATTATTGCAATTCCCTTTTATCAGGCTGTCCAAACTCATCATTAAAGACCCTTCAATTCATACAAAATGCTGCAGCACGGGTTTTAACAGGAACAAAGAAGATGGACCACATCACTCCTGTTTTAGCAGCATTGCACTGGCTACCAGTTAAGTCCAGGATTAATTTTAAAATACTTTTACTCACATACAAAGCGCTAAATGGTCAGGGACCATCCTACCTACAGGATCTTTTAATCTCCTATTGCCCCTCTAGGGCATTAAGATACCAGAGTGCAGGTCTGTTGGTGGTTCCCAGAGTCCACAAAAAAAGGTCAGGTGCTAGAGCTTTCGGCTACCAAGCCCCGTTCTTCTGGAATCAACTTCCAGTGACGATTAGGGAGGCAGACAGTGTCCACACATTTAAGAGCAGGTTAAAGACTTTCCTCTTTAGTACAGCGTACAGTTAAGACTGGTTTTAAACCCCCTTTTATACATCCTCATGGACCCTTCGTTTTATGGAATTGTATTTATTGTACTCTAACTGTATTTGTGTCATGTTCCTTTTTAAATTGGTATTTTCACATTGATCTTGTAAGATACGTTTGTTGTTTTTACATTGTTTTACATTGCCAATTGTGTTTGTTGACTTGTGAAGCCCTCTGAGACAAATAGGATTTGTGATTTTGGGCTATAAATAAACTTGAATTGAATAGAATTGAATATACACAAACGCATCACAGATTATTTCGCGGTATTTGAAATCATGTACGCAGCTCGCGACGTAACTAGGAGTCTTTTTAAAAAATATTAATTACGTTGTTTATAAATTAATCTGAGGGCCGCAAAAAGAGGAGGTGGGGGCCGCCATTTGCCTGATCTAGAATGAATGCGACGAAGCAATTCATATGCCGTTTTACGTTGAAATGGCAAGTGCAACAGGTGAAGATGATGTTGTTGCGGAATTGTTGTGAGTACCCTTTTCAAGACGACAATTCAATGAAAAGACGGACATTATAACGGAGGGGGGGGGGGTGTGTGTCTGAGTCTCTTCAGAAGGTCCATTTGTGATAGACACGGTTCGCCGCTCAAAATAAATAACCACTAACTTTGATGATGAATTATTTCACTATCACTGTCAGTGGCGACTCGTCATTAGGGGCAGGTGCATTTGCATTACTTTCTGAAATAATAAATAATATATATAATAATAATAATTCCCAAAATATGCAAAAAAGATATATGTTAAAATATATTTTAAGATCATGTTTAGTCATCTGATTCGTCTGTACATTGCTGTTTTAGTCTGCGTTCTTCTAATTAGTGTCTACAGTGTGCCTATTGAGCGATGTGGGGCAAGCCCCTCTCTCTGCTGTCAAAATGAACGTGTACTGTAAAAACTACACTGCGCATGCTCAGAGTATTTTTCTATTCAATCAAAGAATCACCATAGGGTGACCACTGTGCTGCCATACCCACCAAACGTCATCTCATAATTCAGAGAGCTGATTGGCTGTAAGTACGTGTGCCGCGAAAAGTTATTTGTTTACGTGTTTAAAAAAGTACCAGAAGCTTATATATACACATCCAAGTTGTTCTTGCCCCACCACTTTTGTACATATAAAAACGCCACTGATCACTGTACATTGCTAATTAGGTTATAAAACATATTAACAAACCATAGCTGTGTGTTTACCTGATGAAGCTGGCAATGTAGACGTTAACAAATGTGGCCATGAGGTACTGGCAGTCGAACCGGTCCATAATGCCACCGTGACCCGGGATCGTGTTGGCAAAATCCTGGAAGAACACACAACAGTACATGTGATCAGACTGCTGCTATGCGTATAATATAAATGGAGCAAAGACAACAGACATTAAAAGGGATAGTTGGAGTGTTTTGAAGTAAAAAAACGTGTCAGAAATCCTTACTTTGATCTTGAAGGCTCTCTTGAAGCCGCTGGCGAAGAATCCTCCGAAGGGTCCCATGATGGAGGCGAAGGAGGAGAGAGCGATGCTGTGGATCTGGAACGGATACAGACGCACCGTGGTCTGCAGAGACAAGGAACATGTGTCAGACTCAAACAGAGACCAGCAGTAAACTAGTAACTTGGCTAAAATAGGACTTGCATCCCCAGGCTTTTAGTATCAAAATCAAACCTGGCGGAGAAAAATATAATGAGGTTGAAACGTATGATAAAAACCTGGTGTTAAACGGGACTTCGGTTCTGTTAATGTGTACTCTCGAAACAACATTTAAATATATTTTAACTAGGGCTGTCAGTCGATTAAAATATTTAATCGCAAATTAATCGCACATTTTTGATCTGTTCTAAATGTACCTTAGAGGAATATTTTTCAAGTTTTTAATACTCTTATCAACATATGAGTGGACAAATATGCTTTATGCTAATGTTTATTATAATTTGAACAATGACAAATATTCTCATGAATATTAAACACAACAACCTCTGAACATTACAAATATTCGCCTCAATTCAACCTGGAACCTCTCTCATTCAATAATACAATACAAAGAGTGTGGTGTGAGTGTGAGTGTGTGTTGTGTGTGTGTGTGTGGTGTGTGTGTGTGTGTGTGTGTGTGTGTGTGTGTGTGTGTGTGTGTGTGTGTGTGTGTGTGTGTGTGTGTGTGTGAGATGGATCATTGGAGCTATGTGCAACTCAAGGCATATGCTCGAACGGGAGCTGCCTAGACGCTGCAATCATGTTGCACACTATCCGTGCTGAGTGTGCTGACTTTTCGTACAATGTCCCACTGTCTGGCTTCCTGCATAAAGTCAAGTGCTCGGCGCAGTTGTGGCGAAATGTCGCTCCTCTGTTTTCATTTAAACAGCTCCTTATATATTAGCGCAGCTAGCTAGCACCAGATGCTAACAACAACAACACGTAAGGTGTTCGCGTTCTCGCTCGCGCCACACATACACACACCCTCCCGGTCCTCCCGATGGCCAGTCGGTGCCTGCCGGTGAGCGTGGAAGTGTGGTCTGCCGCAAGCAGACGGCAGGATCAGCATCAGCTTGTAGATGGTATTTTAAACTCGATGCGCTCTGAAACTACGGGGCGGCCGAGGACAAAAAATACACATGCGTTAATCGCGTTAAAATAATTAGTGGCGTTAATTTTGTTTTGCGTTAACGCGTTAACTTGACAGCCCTAATTTTAACGTTACTTTATAAGTTACACAGGATAAAAACGAAATAACATAGCTGACACAATTAAAACTAGCTGAAACTACAGGCTAGATCCTGACATAAATGTAATAAGCTTTGAGTTTGCAATGTGTAATGTTTGACCCGTTAAGAATAAACCGTCTATATTTTTTCTATAGCTTTACAGAGATGCTGTATTATATCGGTTAGGCATTGTCCACTTCCAAAGTGGTTGAAATGTTGCGACACAAATACATTATTCTACAAATATTACGGATCCCTCTTGTTTTTTTGCATACTGGATTTGCAATATAGTGATTTTATTGTTTCATAGTTACATGAATGTGTATATGACTTGTGATGCCAGAAAAGGAAGGACAGATGAAGGTCAGGAGAGTCTTACCCATCCGGTGAAGGACACCAGGAAGGAGGGCAGGGTGTAGTCCTGCAGCTGGAAAAGCTCCGACGGCTCGCAGTCCACCTGGAACCGGTTGGAGTCGTTGTTGAACTCCACCGGGCAGACGAAGTAACGCCAGCCGGACATCACGTAGGAGAGCTGGGGGAGAGCAAGCTTCAGTTACTGCATGCTGCCTCTGATTTTTTCATTATAAATATTGTTTCACTGTCAAATGATGACAGACATAACGGGAAGAAAAGCTGCAACACTTCTGCAACATGTACAGTGTTTAATAATTCAGAGCTACCATAACAAGGTTTATTTAGATGTTGCACATCTCAGTGAATAGGATGTTAGGATTTTAGGCTCATTTTTTCTGTCTACCGATTTTAATGAAGCTTGTTGAAAAGCTGTAGCATGTGCCAACAAGGATCTAATTAAAGTGTAATTTTCAATTTCATAGCGATATAGGGCATTTGTGCTGCATTATCTTACTAAACTATCTTAACACTAGAACCGCTATAAAAATGTACCCGCTATTAGAATGCATTGATTTTCAAGGTACAATGTTCTTTTATTTATCATACTAGAACACAGGGTTAACGGTGAGTTTTGATTGCACAGTGATGAAACTTATACCAATATAATCTGTGGACTCTCAGCTTCCATATAATATATAGTGTGCAGATAGCATGAAGTATAAAATATCGCTAAAAGTGTCTCTATGTCTCTCTCTCTATCTATAGCTAACTATCTATCGATCTCTCTCTCATATATATATATATATATATATATATATATATCTATAGGGAACCGCAGTAAACAACAAGCGTTGCTATAGCAATACGTCATGTTTATGTTTTGCGCGAGATCAATAGCGCGAAAATCACTGCATTTCCTATAAGGTAAATATTACCCGCTGGCGCTGATGGGTATAAATGGCAATTTTTTGGGCAATTTTTTCAATCTGACTTCATATTGATAATTTTTAACAACAGAGGGTGCTACATAACACACTTTCAGGAAAAGTCACGGACTGGGAGACTTGAATATTTTATTGAAAAAAAGTTACATACAATCAAGAAACAGCTGCGGGTAAAATGTACCCGTTGGCGGTTCTAGTGTTAAGATAGAAAAACACTTCAAAAAATTACAAAACTCAGGATTCTCTATAACTCTTACCATGATGCCGAAGACTATGGTGGAGAACAATCCACCGATGAATCCCTCCCATGTCTTCTTAGGGGAAAGCTGCAGAGGACAGTGAATGTGTCGATAGCAGGTTAATACATCACCATGTACCAAACAACACTTTTAAAGTGTCCATGAAATGTGTCAATAAAACACTGACTGCCGATAAGTAAACAAGATCAAGGAGAAGGAGCTAATATTACGGAGAAATACCTAAAAGGATGTCATAAAACGTTCATATTCTCTGGAGTGGAGTAACATAACAAGAGTCAATATCCAGACTTCAGACAAAAACTAAGTGATACTTACAAAATTGGGTTTTCATTTACTAGAAACACGTGAGTTTTATTGATGAAACACAGGCTGGACATCTGTTGCTTGCATTAATAGTTCTGAAAATAGGGAAAACAATAATATGCAACCAACCTTGATGAGAGGGGTGCGCCCGAAGAAGAAACCAAACATGTAGGCCATAATGTCGTTACAGATCACACAGGAAATTGGCACAATGAACCTGTGAGAAGAGAAGAGTTAACATGAGACTCATAAATAAGAGACTTAGAGAAAACAAGTTTTGTAAAACAAGGCATGTAGGAATGTATTTGGATTGTTCTAGCCATAAACACGCTAAACATAGTAGGTGCAGTTTTTATTGAAATGCAATGAGGCCCAGTGTGAGTATAATATGAAAATGTGAAAAATGTTCAAGTTTATTGAAATGGTAAAACAGTGGAATATTTTCTTTTTAAAGACAGAAACTTAAGAAACTATTAAGGTGAAGCTTAATCTATGCAAAGACGATAAAGGACTGTTTATTTACCAGATCATCCCCTCAAACAGGTTGTGAATGATGAAGTGAGACTGAGTCACCACGATCAGCAGAGTCACATGAGTCCAACCAAACTGTGGAGACAAAACATCATTAGGAAAATATGTTTACAATCAACCCAATTATATTCATGACTAAGGGTCCTTGTTCCAAATATGTATTGATAGATTTGATGGTGGTACAACACCCGAGGGATTACAGTCAGTTGTGACTACACTGAGATGGGATTTAGCTGAAAAGGATATTAGCTTGATTAAATTCAAAATGAGTTTGAAGGCAGCGTATCCTATTTAACATTAAGAGCTGTGTTTTTGTAAACCTCATGGCTCCATATTTAATATATATTAATTCATGCATTCCACTGACACAAGAGTAAGGTTTGTATATTATCAGCAGTGTTTTAGGGGCAAATTAAATCAAATTAAAGAGAAGGGGAGGAGGGTAATGAGAGTAAGGAAAATAAGCAAGATGAAATTGTTTTAAAAAAGGTGGGTATTCTCTGAGATTTGTAAGGAAAAAAAAACAGGCATTAACAACAAAAAAAAGTGTATTCCTACATTGAAAAAAAAGAATTACGTTTTTTGTATTACTTTGTTATTGCTTCACTTGCAAGGTTGGATGAACCTCTATCAAACACACAAAAAAGGTATCTTTCTTGTTAATTTACAACATTATTCTCAGTTATTTCTCAGACTAATACACCCTTCCACTGGCTGTATCATTTACATTTCTTTTTTACACATTTTACTATGTGATCATAGAGCCTGGATTAGGACCAAAGATCACAGGATTGATGCGTCTTGTTGATCTAATCCATATCACAGATGTTGTCTTAGATGATTGCTTTCCCTTTGATTTAACAGGCACTGATTTTTCTGCTTGACACATATTTAATGACTGTATGCCAGACAATTTATTAGAGCAATCTCCAGCTCTCTTCTACACACACTTGAGGGCCCATATTTCATCTCGCCTCATCAATAACCCAGGAGCCTCCAGGTTGCCACTCACCATGTAGAACTGCAGGCGGTAGTGCTTCTTCACCAAGCTCAGCACAAACATGCAGAAACCTGCAACAACACATGCTGCGTTAAAAATGTTGATATAACCTGGTCTGTGACAGAGAGGGGGGTTAATTAAGTCAGAATTATGTTCATCTCTGTTCCAACTCATCTAAATTTAGCTTGACCTATTTCAGACAAAGCCCTGAGTAAATGTGCAGAGAGGAGGTTTGTACAAGACTGAGCTTGGAAGAGGATGTTGCATAGAAGATACGAAAAAGTGCTTTTACTGGGAAGAAGAAGTTAAAGCAGACATAATTTACACCCGAGGAAGAAGGACGCTTCAAGGTTTTAAAAAAAAATCTACATATGATTAATGTATGCATTTTCTGGCACTTCAAGGTGTGGCAAAATGATCATCAAAGCTGCCTGAAAGCGTGTGAAAGAGCCGGCCCATTCAGTGTGAACATAGAAGGCAAAAGGCAGCGACAATCAAGGTGCTTCCTTCCTCCTCACTTCCTGTTCAGCTGCAGCAGAACTGAATTACCAACTGACAACCTGCAGACAGGAAGTGGGACTTCTTCAGTTTGCACAGAGCCTAAAATAACCCACTTTTAGGGTTATTATGTTCATAAAGGATATTCTAAATGTTGGTATTCAACTCTGGAGAACTCAGAATTAATTCAGTTTTTCAAGTTGACAAAACTAAGACGTCCGGATACAATATTGACAATGTAATTAGCAAATGACAGTTTAAACAGTAGCTTGATCATTATATATATATATATATATATATATATATATATATATATATATATATATATATATATATATATATATATATATATACACATATATATCAGGGGTGCCCAACCAGTCGATCGCGATCGACCGCGGGGAGATTCCCAGTCGATCGCGAGATGTGTCTAAAAATAGAAGAACAATATTCTGTTTTATCCATAGACTGTATATATTTGTTATCGTTAATGTCGTTAATGTCCTATAACATAATCTTCCTGTGATCTTCCATTGATCTTCCCAGATCAATGCACTTGAAGGCATCAAAGCTTTGTGATTGGCCGGCGTGACTCCATGTGTCAGGGCGTGGCTGGTGGGGAGTGTGCACTAGTTCGCTGACGTTGTCCGTGTCAACAGGAGTGACAGTCCGCACACACACAAGACAGCAATTATGGCAGAAGCAAAAAAGTCCAAAATATATAATTTTCACTCCGAGTGGGAGGATGATTATTTTTTTATCTATTCCAATTCAAAGTCCATCTGTCTCATCTGCATTGCGAGCGTGGCTTTATCGAAGAAGGGTAATTTAGGAGCGGCATTTCAAAACAGTGCACAAACGCTACGAGACGGAATTCCCTCCTAATTCTGCCCTACGCTCCCAAAAGGGGAGGGGCCTGAAAGGACAGCTAAATGCACAGCAGTCCATTTTCACCAGGCCCAACAACAAGAGCAAGGCTGCTACCAGAGCACCTTATCGTGTCAGTCACGTTCTTGCGAAACACATGAAGTCTTTCAAAGACGGCAAAGTTGTGAAAGAAGCATTCCTGGAGGCTGCTGACGCGCTTTTGGGGGACAGTAAAAATAACAGAAGCATTTCAACAGGTTTTTGATATAATAAAAACTCAAGTTAGATACCGTTATTAATCAGCTGTAAGTTTTAGTTTGTTTGAACTTATTCATTATAATTATTGTACAAAATGGTATAAGAATGCAAACTTAAATTGATTATAGTCTATTATCAATTCAGGTTAAGAAACTAGTGTTGCTTGCATCGTATTTTAAAGGCATTTATTTTTATACTAAAATGCAACAAAAAAAGGGTTTGATTCTATTAATTTAGACTTTTTTTATTGCACTTTGGCAGCAGATTCCTGAGTAGCTTCAGATCCGAGTTGTCTTATTAGTAAGCCTAATTTATACTTTTGTAGCAACACTATTTTTATATAATGGCAAAGAAAGGGTTCAGAGTCTTTTCTTTTTCCTGTGTCATATGTGGCAGCACTGTTCAATGTTTCTTAAACATTACCCACTGTAGTGACGTGTGAATAAACTCCAACTCTGTATCAACAACACTGTTGTGTAACTTCAGTTAAATACTTGTATGTGTGTAGATTAGAAAGAGGTAAGATAAAGGATCTGCAGTATTTTATGAAGTATTAATCGTACAAAGGTCAGTTTTATACAAGTAGAAGTGTGTATTCACCTGGTAGTAGGCTGTCAGTAATGGCTACGCCTCTCTATTTGGACTGGTAGATCTCGGCAGACTGGCAACTTTAAAAGTAGCTCTCGGTTCAAAAACGGTTGGGCACCCCTGCTCTATATCCTTTACCATGTGAAAAAGCACTTCTTATCTGCCCACATTAAGTTAAGTGATTTAATTTGATAACATTTTAAAGTCTGACGCCAAGGACCTTCGCACTGTGGCATATTTAGACGAGGCAACTATCCAGTAGAAAATGATCATGTGTGTGGCTGGAGTTTGGTCAAAGTGATAAAAGTGTGAGTGGTACACCACATGTCAATTCCTCCCTGCTTAGCCGGCACAGTTGTACTATGCAAGGACACTTTACTTTCAAAATAAAAAGAACAAGCTATTCCATAAAAAAGGCACAAAGAGTAAGATTTCTTCAACAACAAAAAAAGTTTCAACTCATCCATAATAATCTCTCCTAATCATCACTTGTTACCTACTATGAGGTTAACACTCTGCCTCTGTTTTCTATTGTTCTGCCTTTACTCTCATTTTGCTTTTACCTCAATAAAAATGCCTTCTCAAAACTGCAATGAAGGTCAAATGAAAGTCAAATGATTGCAGCTTGTTGCCTATATGTTGGAACTGCACACTTGTTTATTCATTCTGATAACAATTGATTTACATTTTAAGAGACTTGGTTCTCTTTAGATGCTCAGATGACTTTTCAAATCTACCTTCACATATTCAAACAGCTCTATTGATGGGCATTGCTTAAAAAACAACAACGAATTCTCCAAGAATAAAATGCATGAACCCGTTGGCAAAAAAAATTAAATTGCAAACTGATCATTTCAATTGTCAACATTAAGGGGAAGCAGTTTGGGGACCCTTGCATTTCTTTTCAAAAATAAAGGGTGAATCTGAGGTTGGCTTATCACACACTGGCTCCATAACCCCTGTGCCAAGTTGGACAAATCCAAGTCTTTGGACCTTTAAGTTGATCCCTCTAACACGCCGACATGTGGACAGATGTTATAACTATAGCTATATTTCCCCCAGGCTTGTCAGTGTTTGTACCTGTGAGGTAGAGGGCAAAGGAAATAAATCTGTGGTATTTGCTGAGGATGCGAAGCGGCTCCTCTCTTTGCACCAGAGTGAAGAAGCAGTCCGTCACGGTTTCACCATAGAAGAAGTAGTTGACACACAGCAGGAAGTACCTGTGGGGTGGAAGACATGTTCATGTTTCAAGGCTTCACACCAGCAGCGTATCAGACATTCAGTATGCCTGCAGAAAAACCAGTGAGGCCATGTTAATGAACTCACCGACTCATCTCACTGCATTTGACTAATGTTTTGTCAAAGAAGAGAGTTTAGATTGTTCTGCTGAAGGCATAGGGAATGTCAGGATTATCAAACTAGTGTACACCACTAAAGCTAAGAAATAAAGATGCACCGATGGAAATGTCATATAAAAGCGACACCAGCCAAATTCAAGTTTGTTTGTTCTAAGACAAACATTTTTGTAACTTTTCTTGGTGAAAATTAAATGTAATGTTCATAAATTATTAATATAAGATATAAGAGAAACATCTGATACAAATATTACTCTGTACTGTTTCTGCAGGACTTTTATTACATTACATATTATATATCTGACGCTTTCATGCAAAGTGACCTTCATATAATTTAACACTGAAGACTTGCCTACAGGAGCAATTAAGGCTAAGTATCTTTCCCAAGGACTCTTCACATGTTGTCAGGAGGTGGGATTGAACTGCTGACCCCCTGATTCTCCTATTAAAGACTCTCCCCTATTTATTATTTATTTAATGTGTCAGTTTAACTACTTAATTATACAAAAATATGTATAAGTCAGTAATATCTATTTACACAAAAGTAAAGGTGTGTGTATTATATGTTGATTACTTTGAGCAGCAGGCATGGGAATGATTTGCAATAAGTGTCTCATTAAGTATTTTCCTCCAACGTCCTGCCGGTGTTACGAATCAAAAGCTTTAGGTCTTCGTTGCTCGCACTGAAAACATTCTACACAGATGACGTGTTCACACATGTCATCTGTGTAGAAGAACACAGATTGTGTGTGTTTGCCTGGATAATGGATATGATGTAAAATAATCATGTTGTATTTAAATGATCGGCCACTTCGATCGGTGCATCTCCACTAAAATCACAGCTCTGATAATTCACAATCTTTGCCATTTTTGCTGATTGGCTTAATAATCTACAATCTAAACCAAATGTAATCAGGTCAGTAAACAAACCTCAGGAAGTCTGCAACAAAAAAGACAAAAAAGCAAGACAACACAATAAGATGGAAGCAAGGGAGGACATATGCAATGTTCATGACACACAAATGCGTGTGTGTGTGCGTGTGCATGTGTCTCACCAGCTCAACGTCCTGAACCAGGGCAGGTGGTAGGAGTGGTACACACTGTAGCCAATGGTGATGATTTCCTGGAAGCACTTTATCTGAACAAAGAGGACCTACACACGGAGAAACAGTGGGGCATCAGAAGTGTGCGTGTGTGTGAGAATATGTCCTGGTACCATAGTGACACAAAATGGCTGACAGGCCTATCTTCAGGGAATTCCCATATGCAGAGATCTTGCATGCTATTACAAGATGTCACTTAATGTCATGAGATAACAATTTACATTGATGTGCTGGAAGTCAACTGAACGTGCAGCAGAGAGAAAATATTGAATGACATCTAAAACACTGTACAGGTCATGGAGAAAATGTGCCTGTACCTTTAATATAATTATGTAAATAAACTAGACCATAGCTCAGACTTTACATAACCAACCAAGTCTTACACCTCTTTTTCAGCACTGGTTGGAAGTCACTTTTCTAACATATTCTCTGTAAGGTAACTCTTGATGAGTCTGAGGGTTTTGCACGGCACCATCAGTTTTGTACTCACAATCATCATAAGCACTATGGGGCCCAGGTAGATGATGAGGAAGAAGAAGGAGATCATGGCTAGCGTGAGGATGCCTCGGACCCACCAGTTCCTCCACCTTAAAAGGAAACAGACATTTTCTTTTTTATTATGCACATGCATCTCATATAGGGCTGAACGATATATCGTGTCATGGCGATAACCGCGATATGCGCGATATTCACATCGCAGGGACGTGCGATTTTATTAATGTGTGCCTCGGAAATAATTGTTTACATTAATGGTGACCAAAACATTTGAGACCCACTGAGATAACACTGAGAGTCCTTTAGCTCACTGAGTCTCTCAGTCTGACAGGAGAGGACTCTCCTCCACTTTGTTGTTGAAAAAACTCCGTTAGCGTAGCTCGCCAGCACCAGAAGCTAACAATAACGATCTCCGGTACCGGTGCTCTCTCTCTCGCTCACGCACACAAAATGGCTCATTCCACACACACACACAGAGCCGAGCTTTAATGAAACATAGAGACCCAGACGTAATAGTACTGTATCATATTATTTTTTAATGTATGATTATTTATTCTTTTTTTCTTACAATTGTTCCTCCTGGTCTCTCGCGCCCCCCCTGGCATGCCTCTGCGCCCCCCACTTTGAGAACCACTGACTTAAGGTATGATGTGTCAACCAGTTAAGATCCAGACGTCCGTGACTAAAATCCTTCATCCGGTAAAATATAGTTAAAAAAAAATGCAATATATATCGCAGGGGGAACAAATATCGCAATGTCAGTTTTTTTCAATATCGTGCAGCCCTAATCTCATAGTTATTTTACAAGTTAACATAACTGGTTAGTAAACAACAATACATTTAGCAGTAGTAGACTTTACAAAAGGAAGTGGATTAAAAATGCTTTATAGGATACCTCGATCACAGTTTAAGAGTTCGAAAGTGGTCTTCGAGATAATGCATAATAATAATAATATAAATCATTGCTTATCTGGTGGTCGTGAATAGATTACTGAAAAGGGCCACATGGCACAGGAGCAGGGGCCCCAAGTGTCAAGGGCCCCCCAATAAAAGAGACACTACCAACAAGAAAAATAAATTAGCAAAAAAAGCACAAAAAGACTGCAAATAAACAATAACGGCTACAAAGAGATGCAAAACGGCTACAGAGACACACCAAAGAACTACAAAAAGACAGATACATCTGCAAAATGACACAGAGACAACAAAAAGACAAAGAAAACTACCAGGAGACGCAAAACAAATGCAAAGAGACACAAAATGACCACCAAAGAACTCATATTTCTAATAAATATAAATACACAAAAACTATACAATACATGAACTGTGTCTTATTCCTATGTGGGAGAGGTAGTGTGGCTAATGTTAATGATTTATATTACAAAGTGTTGCGACACAGAGTAACGGTGTCTCATACAGGGACATCCTGAGTTTTATATTGACCATCCTGTTGTCTTCGGGTCAAATCTGACCGATTTACTACTTTCATCAATCATAACTTTTTTGTTTTACATTCGATTGCATTAAGGCTTCATGATATCCTTCAGTAGACATTTGAACATATACAATTGCTGATCACCACTTTCATTGAATTTTGGATGATTTAGTCAACTTTGTAACACCCATGGTGTTCCCGGTCAAAAATGACCACCATAAAGAAAAGGAATTAGTTACCATCCGGATCAGATAAAACACACACGCAAACACCCACACATACTCTAGATGTGTTATCCCCCTTATGTGCCCAATCCCCCCATGTGAATCACACCTGGCACAAACACACAGAACAATTTGACACATTTCTCACTCTTATGTGCCCATCCCCCCACATGGATCACACCTGGCACACGCAATACATGTTCAGTGTCTGTTCTTTGTATATTTACTGCAGTTTTTCATACCAGTAGTCTGATACAACATTTACAGTTTGATAGGGTGTTAACCTGTTTAGTCCTCAGCCTGTTTTTCAGGTCTCAGGCTCGAAAATGACATTCCCAGAACAACTGACTATATCTTCACTTCTAAAAGGGGTAAATTCATAATCTTTTTTCTCAAAGTAATGATAAACCTGTGAGTTGGATGTAGAAAAGTCAGAATCAATATAGATTTATTTTTATTTTAAAGTAAATTCAGATTGAACATAATAAATCATATATCATAGTGTCCGTCCAAAAATAAAAAAGTACTTATAGTGAAAACCACCCTTGAATGATGGGATAGTAGACTAAAAGCTTTAGGAATCCAAACGATAACATATAATAAAGTACCCTGTATCAAGATTGATGCAAAACAAGTGACATTTGACCTTTTTAGAGAGGTTTAGCAACAAAAAAAACACCTCTGGGGTCATTTGGGTGGAAATGGGTGTATTTGCCGTTTCTCTGGAACCCATTGGTCGATTTTGATGATTGACATCTCTTTCGAACCTCTAGAGCCAATAGAATCGAAGGGGAATTTCCACATACACACACACGTTACCATTGAGAAATGAGGTATGCGCATGCAGTTTGCCCAAAGCGAAACCTATTTTACGCTCTGAAATCTGAAAACTAACTTTATTGCTGATGGATTATCAGAAATAATTTCAAAGTGACAGACACATTGGATTAACCTATGGATTAACCTTCAGCAGCGTTTTTATCGTTTTAATGTCATTGAACACAACTTTTGATCAGAAAACAAATGGTAAGACATATTGCCGTGTTGGCTACCTAATGCTACGTGGTGTGATGTCGTTGTTAGCTTCTCATGTCGCGAGTTCGGATCGGTCAGTAATGATACCAATACCTGTCGAATCTGTGCAATCTCAGCTTGCTAATCGATATCTTGTTTGTGCAGATACGATAAGTAATAAGGGTATTTTAACGTGAGTTCTGTGCTAAGTGTGTTAGCATTTTCTTGCTCAGGGCTAATTCAGAGCCTTTGTTATTACCCTTATGTTTCGTTTTGCTAAAAATTGTTAATATTGTCTGATAGCTGAGTTTCTTACCGTTAAGTGGGTATGACGCATTAATAGGTTTTTAAATGTTAAGAAGCCCTCAGACGCTGTTTCTTGCAGATGTTGCGATTGCGGGGAATGGGGCTTAACAGGTTAAATGAAATGTGGTGACGATTAATGGTTTTTGTGTTAATGTAATAGCAGCAAAAACAGGACTGGTCCATTTTGACCGCGAACACCAAAGTAAGGGGGGGAAACGAAGACAATAGGAGGGTTAATAATGTTTCTACCAGGAATAGAGGGTCAAGTTCAGTGAGTCACATCCACTGTGTGAGGAAGGAATCCTGTGTGTGAATCATGACACCACTGCTGTTAGATTCAGTCTAAAGTAACAGGCAGAGAATCAGCACTTTGGAAACAGGGCTGAAACAGAGGGGATTATGGGATGCTGCAATGATCTGTTTGGTGTTTCAGCCAATCAGAGACATGTTCTGTATGTATCTGAGACCTATAATATATTGATGAAAAACAGTATAATAGGCAGGGGTGCACATAACTTTTTTGCCCTGGTTCTCAAAGGAGCACCTGGATGTTGCTTGGTGCTCATCCTTAAAATGAAATAAACCGTAACTTTTGAGGGGGTCTTGACTTTATTTGCCAGACACACGGCACTGAACACACATGCAGAGGTGAACACAGAACACACATGCAGAGGTGAACACAGAACACACACACAGAGGTGAACACAGAACACACATGCAGAGGTGAACACAAGACAACATTAGCACAACCAGTAATCCTACAAGCTGTCATCACTCCCCTCCTGACTGTTCTCCTGACTGTCTTCCTCTCTGTCAGACATGGTAGCTGATGATGTAGGCCTACTTCTTCCTCTCTGGTTGAGTCTGCGATTAGCTGCTTGCATCCACAAGTCAACAGCTGGGTTTGGGTCGAAAGTCTCTGATGTCATCTTAGACAAGTGGATGTAATCAAATAAGTATGTGAACATAACCAATAGCCTACCATAGCCAATAACAAATGAATGTAACTTATTTTATTTGTGTTGTTCATTCATATCTTATTTTACCTTAACATTTATTTATGCTTTTTTTTTTATCTTTCCAGTTTTAAAGGATATTTTTGGTTACTGTCCTATAGTATACATTGGAATGATTTAAAACCTGTTTATCCCAATAATTATAAAGGAGTGCCTTGGCAATATGTGTTTACATAAATTGTGACCAAACCGTTTCAACTTAGACTAAAGTGAACTATCTAAACACTCAGAGTCCTTTATCTCACTGAGCTGTAGTTAACTTATCAGCCTCTCAGTCTGGACTGGAGAGGACTCTCCCTCCACATTATTGTAGAAACATCTTCTTCTTATCTCCATTAGAGCAGCTAGCACAGCACCAGATTATAATAACAACGGCGCTGGTACCGGTGCACCCTCCCTATCTCCCTCGCTCACTCGCATTTTGTCTGTGAGCTGCGGGCGCCAGATAAGCCAACATCACCCATTTTCATCACTTACAGCGCCCATCGTACAGGGCAAATGAAAGGTGGAACCGGGGTGAAAAGGGTGTTACATTTAATTAATTGTGAATATTGTTACATCAAGGCCGAAAATTAGGATGAGCCCCAACGGTCAAAATGTTTTTTTCCCTCCCAGAACTGCCAGTGCAGCGCCTCCACAGATCTGGCGCCCTAGGCGAACATCTAGCCAGTGCTACGGGCCGGCCCTGAGTTCATATCATGGTTCATATGCAACTCGCAAATATCTTTTTCTCTCTCTCTCTTCTCTCTCTCTCATCTCTCCTCTATTTTCTCTTTTCTCTCTCCCTCTCAATGTTGGTACGCAAATGCGCTTTCAAATGACCCGGTGCTCTTTTTTTGGCGGAGGTGCGCATGTGCACCTGCGCACCAGTTATGTGCAGCCCTGATAATAGGGGACCTTTAACATTCAGTGATAGTACCTTGAGGAGAGTCCAGAGAGGGCCTTGTTTAAAACCTCTGGGGTGTCATCAGCAGGGGCCGGCACCTCGGCGAGTCCTGAGTCCCCCTTCGACTCTCCATCTGACGCTCCATCTTTCTCCAGCCTCAGCTCGCTGTCTGAACCCTGGCGAAGAGGAAGAAATATGACATTTAATAAAGATATGAGGCTGCAGAAAGTTGAAAACATACACTGTTCATTTTATATTGAATTGAACATCCCATTCCATGCACACTTGAATTAAAAAGGTCATCTTGTCAAATGTATTTTTTTTAGAGAAACCCTTTTATGGTCCTTCTTGTCAAAGCTTATTTAGTCCAGTCATTTAACACCCTATGCATACCACTGTATCCACTTTAATGCATATATATATATTCTATGCTCTAATAAATAATATGTACTCTAAAAAAAAAAATTGTAATATGTTATTGAACAGCATATTGATAATATCAGTGGGGACATACAGTAGTTTTAAACAGCAGCAGTTCTGCCAGTACCACACACACACCACACACACACACACACCACACACACACACACACACACACACACACACACACACCCACACCACACACACACCCACACACACACACACACACAACACACACACCACACACACACACACACACACATCACACACACACACACCACACACACACACATCACACACACAACACACACACCACACACACACAACACAGCACACACACACACACACACACACACCAACACACACAACACACACACACACACCACACCACACACACACACACCACAGCAGCACTTGTACCACATTCACACAGCTTGTCCCTTCCCCCCTCCCCCCCCCCCACAGACCTCTCTGCTGCTGGTGACCAAATTGGGCTCAGAGTTCTCACTTCACAGGAGATGGTCTGCATGCTGTTTGAGTCTGACAGCTTAACATCTAAACACCTCAACATTACTGCTGCTGGATATTTTCTGTATGAATGACAGACCTTTGTAGTATGTCTTACGGCAAAAGCAACAACGGTACATTTCTTGGAAACATGTTCCTTTCTAAAATAGGCTTAAAAAAAATACATCACAAAAGCAATGCCAACATAACAACGATTTCCATTCATGTTTAATCTGGCTAATAGTTTCTACATTCATGAAATAATAATTTGCTCTCTAAAATGTCCAAAAACTGTGAACATTGTGAATCTCCGTTTAAAAAGTCCAAAGTTATGTCTTTAAATGTCAGGCAACTCATACAAATATTCACTTTATTATGATATGACACAGAGAAAAGTGGGAAACCTCCATATTTCAGAGGCTTAAAGCTGCATTTTTTCTACTTTTTGTCAAAATTAATTGTTTATATCATTGATTGGCGATCATTTTTTTGTCAAACTACTTTTATAGTCCTTATCACGACATATATTGCTCAAAATCAACATATTAATAAAAAAGGAAAATAATGTTACAAGAAATAGGTTGTAAAGTGAGGATCGCATTAAAACTAGACATTTATTTCATTATAAAGATGTTTTCGTAGCAATGACATCCTGCCATGCAGATTCAGTTTACTCTCTTGTGTATATTACTGTCACTTTAACAGCTGCAACAGTCAGTGTGTGTCCACCATTGTTAGAGTGTCCCTGAGAAAAACACTCATTCTTTAGGCTGCCAATTCCCTCTGGATCCACCCAGCCAAAAAAACTAAAACTGTACATTTTCATAGATTTGGAAGATTGAATCTCCATATATTATATAAAAACACACTAAGTCCAGAAGCAGGCAAAGCGAAACACACACACACACAGAGACTCATTTTCCGCCTGCTGGTTTCTATGGAAACAATGTCCGTCACTCAGGATGCTTGAGTTAAAAATAGCCGCTTTTTTCACACAAACACCCCTCCCCTTCCATGCTTCCTGGTCATCAGCGTCAACACTGAGTGTCTCCAATTCATTAGAAAGAGCTAAATCTGCAGGCTGTGAAAGGATCAGGAGCACAGGTCATTTTTTAATCTGGTTTAGGCTTCATTTGATGTCTTTCGGAAAATAAAGCATAACGCAAAAGAGGAGATTGGTGATTCATCTTCTCAGCTATGGGTTTACAGGCACACATATTTCAGAGCAACTGTTTTGAATAGCTGACGACCACACGTGTTCAGATAGTCATTTTAAAAAGTAGACTTCCGGACATCGCCTGACTTGAACACAATAAATGTCTATAATTAGAAATGTACACGACCAGATGATGCACCACAAAGATATCCAAAAATGGTGAACATCTCTAACGTTCAAAGGTTTGATCATAGAGTAAGTCATTCATAAATGGTGTCACCTGCATTTCAGTTTTCCCATATTTATGCAAACCATAATACAAGTTACCAAAACTAATGCCATCCTTATTTCATAAGCTGATCCAGATAAAAAGGTCAAAGCAGAGCCAGAATAGATTAAACCCTTTTTTACATAATTTTAGAAAAGGGGATCGAGTAGAAAGGTTGTGTTCCCCGCAGGAATACACTTTATATTTGTATCTGATTATTTTTTAGTGATTGCTTCTCCCTCAGCTAAACCACATGACAATTCACTATTTACCTGCATTTCCATATTCAAATAGGTCTCTCGTACACAATCCCTGCTCTAGCATTTACTCGGTGAAGGGGCAAGTTAGATTGGAGCCACACGAGAACGATCACGCAAATAATAACAATTGTATATGTGCAATGATATGAATAACCCACATTTAATCTTTCGACTATAATATTTTTGCTTTTTTGTCACTGTTTAATTACTTAATTATTAGGTCTTTACTGTTAAACAAGGTATTGTTTTTCTTTCGTCTTGTAGATGCATTGTCCCTGTTGTGGAATATTTCCCAAGGCCCATAACTTTGACCCAGTGTATCAGTTCAAACTGTCCTGACTGAGCACAGGCACCTGTAACCTTGGCTGCTGTGCTCTCAGTGTTTTGTCTCCCTGTTCCTGCCTGTTGGCGTCAGCTGATAGAGGTGTTATCATTCTATCTTGTTATGCAGCATGTTGATGATGCTCTCTGAACTAGCTAAATACATGGGTCTGGGGTAGAGTTCTTCAGAATTGACGTGGCAACTCTACCGTGAAGTCAGAACCTCTGACTCTTGGACTTGTGATGTGAATCCTCCGGCCGTTAACTCCAAATAAACCATCATGTGTTTGACATCAAAGCTACTGCTCTTCCCGTGTCTCCTTCCTGAGTCGGTGACTCCCACTGCATAGCTACACAGAAGTTTCCTCTACAGTCCCCTGTTGCTGCTGTAACGCTGCAAATGTCTCTTCTGTGGAACAAATATTAGACTTTTCTTATCTTTAATAGTAGTGATGTTATCTAGATATCACTATACCTAATTGTGAATGGAATGACCTGATTAGGAGCACAAAGGCAGCGTCTTTAACTACTCACTGCTGGGCTGCTTTAAGAACACAATACGATCTAGGGCTGAACGATATACCGTGTCATGGCGATATGCGCATGCGCGATATTCACAACGCAGGGATGTGCGATTTAAAAAAAAAAAATTATTTTAGGGCGTTCGATATTAAGTAGGTAAATTAACTCAAACACGTCATGGTACAATTATTTTGCTGCTTGCTACAAAAGGAAAACTTGCGCGGCTCTCATGTCAGGGGTACTTGAGTGGAGTGACATGCAGGCTCTGAGTCTGCATGCACAGCAAACAACTATTTCAGATGCCTTTGCCGGTGTTACACCATATGAGAAAGGTTCAAAACGGCATAAAGGAGCTGGTGTATAGCTGTTCTTAATTTTATTTTTATAATGTTTAAAAGATGTCCACTACTTTGAAGCTATTTGCACAAAAAAGGTTTTAATTGTGGAATAAAAAGTTAAATTACCTATTTGGTCACGTATGTTAATTCCCTAATGTGATAATGAAGCTTCCTATAGTTTAATGTAATACGTTTAATCTCTTGGATCCCTTCTAGACATCACTCTTCTTCATTCACAGATGAACCCCCTTATTTGAGGGTAAGCAACCTGCATTATCATGACATGTTAGATCATGACTTAAGGTATGATGAGTCAACCAGTTAAGATCCAGACGTCCATGACTAAAATCCTTCATCCTTCAACCGCAATATATATCGCAGGGGGAAAGAATATCGCAATGTCAGTTTTTTTCAATATCGTGCAGCCCTAATACTATCAGAAGACAATCAACCAAAGTATGAAGGTTACAGCACTTTGAGGGCTGAGTGAGTGGCCTATAGTTTATAACCATTCCTTAAATCTGCCCTATGAGGTTTTGTGGTCTGGATGTACTGTAGCTAATCTGCTTTTAGCTGTTCTGTAATTATCTGTAATCATGTCCTCTTGTTCTGGATTATGGATCCTAACGCCCATCACATCACCACCATGCCTCTTTGATGGCATTTACTGGAACATAATGTTGTCCAACACACAATAATGCATTTAGTTTCCCTTCAGTACAACAAGAGCGTTTTAATATCCTGTTACAGACAGCAGAATGTCTGAAGCAGTTGTTGTTATTGATTTAGCAGCTAAGCTAATGCTACACTAGCATAAAGAAGTAGGTGAGCCTTGTTTGTTTAGAGGCAGCTGAGTAAACAGATGACTTTGTTGGAGAAATACATGTAATTAAAATCAGATTACAGTCTTCAACATATTTTAGCTTGAGGCCATTTCAACCCTTTGTGTGATGTAACACCCTGTATGGGGCTCACTCCAAAACATCCATCAAATTGTTCATATTTAGCTCTTCATGAAACAAAAACACTGCTTCAAACTCAATTTAACATCGTTTCATATACAAGAAAAGCAATTCTACACCTCGGCATGTATATGATAAAGAAAGCAGACTTAAAATTGATGTAATTTTTTCTATTTGTGCTTTTGTTTTGCCTGTTGTATTCACCACGACCCACACCAGGAAGAACCGTCTACCAATCAGGTTTATAATGAGAGTAGTTTGGCGGATGATTTGTACACCACATTTCATTGGATTTGCATCCCCCTTTAAAATCAATTTACTACTAAATCGACTGTATCCAACAACAAAATGACAAATTAAATCAATATTTACATAACTTCCCCTCTAGCTACAGGTCACACACCACAGCCATTCCTAGCATTCGGTGACATTATCCATATATTTAGCAATTAAATGGGCTATTGTTATTTGCAAAAGCTTGGTTTTACATGTTTAATAGGCTACCCCACTACTATAAAAAAACAATGTTATATACCCAGGATATTCAAAAGTCTAAATAATCACTCTGATTTTAGTAGGCCAAGCTGCCAAAAGCATGTTTGCTCAACTTCCATAACATATACACACAAAGGAATACTAACATATTCTACATGTTTGTCCCTGTTGTATAATTAAAGTATGAATAATAATGCATTACAGTGCGGAGCATCAGAGCTATGTGGCTAACTAGCATTAGCTTCCCGTTACCTTGTCCTCTGACGACTGTGTTTGTATCGGTGCTTCGGCTCCACGGTGCCTGAGCTCGGTCATATTTAGAAGTTTTGTAGCCCCACCGACTCCAGAGAAGCTCCTGTGTCTCAGAGACACTTTTTATTCGGACTGACAGATCTCCTGCTGAGCGTGTTAGTTGGTTTCTGCACAGCGACACTTTCCACTCGATTAACCAAGTATATATCAAGTCAGAATGAATGAAAAAGCTTGGGAAAGAAGAGCACTTCCGCTTTTCAAAATAAAACTAAAATTGTTACATTTAAAGGTCCCCTATTATCAGGGGTGCACATAACTTTTTTGCCCTGGTTCTCAAAGGAGCACTTGGAGATGTTGCTTGGTGCTCATCCTTAAAATGAAATAAACCGTAACTTTTGAGGGGTCTTGACTTTATTTGCCAGACACACGGCACTGAACACACGTGCAGAGGTGAACACAGAACACACATGCAGAGGTGAACACAAGACAACATTAGCACGACCAGTAATCCTACAAGCTGTCATCACTACCCTCCTGACTGTTCTCACTGTCTTCCTCTCTGTCAGACATGGTAGCTGATGATGTAGGCCTACTACTTTCTCTCTGGTTGAGTCTGCGATTAGCTGCTTGCATCCACAAGTCAACAGCTAGTTTTGGGTCGAAAGTCTCTGTTGTCATCTTAGACAAGTGGATGTAATCAAATAAGTATGTGAACATAACCAATAGCCTACCATAGCCAATAACAAATTAATGTAACTTATTTTATTTGTGTTGTTCATTCAAATCTTATTTTACCTTAACATTTATTTATTTATGCATTTTTTTTGTATCTCTCCAGTTTTAAAGGATATTTTTGGTTACTGTCCTATAGTATACATTGGAATGATTTAAAACCTGTTTATCCCAATAATTACAAAGGAGTGCCTTGGAAATATGTGTTTACATAAATTGTGACCAAACCGTTTGAACTTAGACTAAGAGTCCTTTACCTCACTGAGCTGTAGTTAACTTATCAGCCTCTCAGTCTGACTGGAGAGGACTCTCCCTCCACATTATTGTAGAAACATCTTCTTCTTATCTCCGTTAGAGCAGCTAGCACAGCACCAGATTATAATAACAACAGCGTTGGTACCACCCTCCCTCTCTCCCTCGCTCACTCGCATTTTGTCTGTGAGCTGCGGGCGCCAGATAAGCCAACATCCCCCATTTTCATCACTTACAGCGCCCATCGTACAGGGCAAATGAAAGGTGGAACCGGGGTGAAAAGGGTGTTACATTTACTTCATTGTGAATATTGTTACATCAAGGCCAAAAATTAGGATGAGCCCCAACGGTCAAAAAAAAAAGTTCCCTCCCAGAACTGCCAGTGCAGCACCTCCCCAGATCTGGCGCCCTAGGCGAACATCTAGCCAGCGCTACGGGCCGGCCCTGAGTTCATATCATGGTTCATATGCAACTCGCAAATATCTTTCTCTCTCTTCTCTCTCTCTCTCATCTCTCCTCTCTCCTCTATTTTCTCTTTTCTCTTCTCTCTCTCCCTCTCAATGTTGGTACGCAAATGCGCTTTGTTTCAAATGACCCGGTGCTCTTTTTTTGGCGGAGGTGCGCATGCGCACCTGCGCACCAGTTATGTGCAGCCCTGCCTATTATACTGTTTTTCATCAGTATATTATAGGTCTCAGATACAAAACGCGTCTCTGAAGTGTTTGGCTCGAAACAACAAACAGAAAATTGCAGCATTACCCATAATCCCCTCTGTTTCAGCCCTGTTTCAAAAGAGCTGATTCTCTGTCTGTTACTTTAGATGAAAATAAGGAGCCCCTCCCCACGCCCCTCTGAGAGATATTTGGTTACAAAGAACACAATGGTGCTCTAGAGGAGATTCAGGTGATAAGGGGGGGGGCACCTTATCATGACATCATAAAGTGGCCAAAATCTGATCAGCTCATTTTCAGACAAGTTTTTATATAAATGGATCAGGACAAAAAGTGAGAGAATATTTTTTCCTGAAACTTTCAGAATCTCTTTACACAGAGGGGACACATGTTGATGTAGAAGAGACATTAAAAAGTGGATTTTAAATGATAGGGGACCTTTAACACTGCTTACATCACATAGGTAGAACAGTTTTCTTCAGAGGTGGGAGAAGTACTCAGATCTTGTACTTGAGTAAAAGTAGAAGCACCAGAGTAGAAATACTCTGTTACAAGTAAAATCCTGAATTAAAAATGTTACTTAAGTAAGAGTATTGATTGATTGATTTAAAACAAGGGACAGTGTACATTAATCAGCATATTAAAAATATGTAAAAGTACTCAAATTAGCCAAAAGGCTAGTACAGAAGTATTGGCATCAAAATATACTTAAAGTACTAAAAGTAAAAGTACTCATTATGTAGATTAGTCCATTTCAGAATAATATATATTATATGTTTTGATTATAATTATTTGTGCATTTTAAGTGTTATCAAAGCTGGTAAATGTGCAGCTAGTTTTAATGACTTTGTACACTGCAGGGTAGCTTGTGAATTTTACTCCAGGTGTAACTAAAGATAATCAATAAATGTAGTGGAGTAAAAAGATTTTCCTCTGAATTGTAGTGGCATTACAAAGTAGCATTAAAAGGAAATACTCAAGTAAAGTACAGGAGCCTATCTCAGAATTGTACTGGAGTAAATGTACTTAGTTACTTTACAACTCTGGTTTTATTTACCTATAGCTCAGTCATTTATTTCATATTATGTTTTATTTAATGTATATTTAGTGAGGCGAGACATAACAGGTGAGACTAGAAAAGACAGAGTTAATATATTGGGTGACATGTCGGGATTAACATGATGGGGAGAAAATAAACCTACAAACTAAAAAAAGGAGGCATAGTCGAGTGTTAGGAGGAAAGAAACTAAAAGAGAAGAATAAGTAAATGAATTAGGGTACGAAGGTTTTTCCTGTCCTGTCGTTCCGTATTAAGTGATTTGTTCTGCAAAAGCTGCTGATACTTGTCTGATTCTTTGTGCAAGTATATAACTCTGGCTGTATGAGAGATCAACTTTGAATTAAATCATATATTCACCTAATTGATTTGAATCAGACAAAGAGGAAAATATGCAAACATGAAAAGGAAGGAGAACATAATTCTTAGGATGCTTCTTAAGATGTGAACTGAGTGTTAATTGTTTGCATGATGTCTAACCCAAATAACATGGACTCGTACCTTTGCAAGTTTGCCGAGTAGAAAGTGTGTGCTTTTATTTTTAAGGCACAGTTGTGTAATGGTTTGTTATAACTTGGCTAACTTGACAATGTTGTTACAGTAGAGTCTTCTGATGTCATTGGAGGTGTGTGAGCTTTATTCAAGACAAATCATTACCTATAACCATGAAGCCTATATTTGTTTATTACAATATATCCCTGGTGATTTTAGGACAATCCCCAAGGCCAAACTCCGGAGCTTCGGGGACAGAGCCTTCTCTGTGGCAGCCCCGAAGCTCTGGAACTCACTCCCCCAAGACCTCCGTGAGTCTGAGTCCCTCACCCTGTTCCAGTCCCGCCTCAAAACCCACCTCTTCAACTCTTTATCTATAAAGCCCCCCCCCCCTCTTAATCAACTTCCTCCTGACTACTTTTCTGTTGTGTTTTGTTTCTTTTTGGCTTTGTCTCTGTTTTTTGTTTTGTTTGTATACCCCCCCTCCCAAATGTAAAGTGTCTTTGGGTCCAGAAAAGCGCTATATAAAATTAATATATTATTATTAGGAGAGCCGAATTAGACATTTTGAATTTTACTTTTGCTCTCATACACTATGTTTCACTACTAGTGTTTATATATGACCACTTTACTTAGTTACTACTTTAAAACTTGTACTTTCTAGATACATTATTACTGTCATCGATGCTGTAATTTGTCTTTTATGTCGTTGGTTGTTTTTTTATTTTAAGATGTTTTCTTTTTGGTTTGGTCAAGTTGTGTCTCCTTTTATAATGATATTTATTCATTTAGCTTAATTCACTTAAAATGAAAGAGGAAAAAGTAAAATGTTGTAAAAATAACTAAAGATTTTCTGAAGACTAGTCGGTAGTAGTGTTGGATAACTGAGGCTCTCATGCTTGTAAAGCTATCTGTAATATACACCTTTAACACCAAGTGGCAGCAAAGGCTCACGATAACTGTGCGTGTGTGTGTGGTGTGTGTGTGTGTGTGTGTGTGTGTGTGTGTGTCAGCTCTGTGGCCTGACAGCAGCCAGCTGTTATAAATACTTAATGCCCTACCGCTGTTGCAGCAGCAGTGAAGGGGGTTGATCACTGCAGCCCAAATACAACAGGTCAATACGTTCAGACATCACACAGTAGGTGTTCACTGTCTATCCAACCTGTGATGAGAGGTGTCATTAATGATGATAAACTAATAATAAAAAGGCCTGCATCACTGGAACAGGCTCCATTAAGAGACAAGAGGCGTATTTAGCACAGCATCTACGAACTCTTCCACGTATCTTACATAAACTATTTTAAAATGTTGTTATTATATACTTTATTTAGGATCCCCATTAGTTATTACTGCAGTAACAAGTACTCTTCATTGGATCCACACCAAAGAAGAGATATTAAAACACCACATTCTTGACAATCTGCAATATCAACAAAACCAAAACATATAAAAAGAAGAGAACATCTCTCGTAATTTATTCATTACAATCAAGAGTCGTGATTACATCAAATAATACACATGGTTAAAGTAGGTGTATCAATGAATACAAAGCTGCACAATACATTGTACACATAACCCATTTATTACGACAACTTATTTTTAAACCCAATCTTACTGGTAATCTGAGTTAAATGTAATGGTAGTTTAATTGTCTTTTTCTTTGCCTTTTACATTAGAGTTTTCTTTAAAGCATTGGTATTTTGTAACAATGTATATCATAGATGTGTGTAAGCTATGACTTTATATACAGGCACTAAGGTTTTATGAACTTACAGTGACCACCATCTGCCTTTTTTTGTTGAAATTTGCATTGCTAATCTTACGTGTAGTTAGCTCAGCCAGTGCACACTGAATCATGACTCAGCAGGTTTATTACAGCATCCTGAAGGAGAGATTTAATGAACCTTGAAAATCATATAAATGGTTATATATATAGTCTTATGTTCTGTTTCCCTTTGTAAACCACTTTGAATTTCAATTTGTTTTATGTTATAGCTTTAATGGAAGT